GTCGGATGGTTATCGGTCACCTCATGGAACCACGTGACATGGGCATGATGGTAAGAGGTTAAAGGGGCCTTGATATTTACAGGTGACAGGGACCTTGATGGTACGAGGTGACAAGTTGTATGATGGTAACAGGGAACAGATGGCCTGATGGTAACAGGTGATATGTGGTCTGTTGGTAACTGGTGACAGGTGGCCTGATGTAACATGTGACAGGTGGTATGATGGTAACAAGGAACAGATGGCCTGACGGCAACAGGTGGCTGGATGGTAACATGTGACAGGTTGTCTGAAGGTAATTGGTGATAGGTAGCATGATGGTAACAGATGACCTGGTGGTAGGGAATAGATGGTCGGATGGTAATTGGTGGCCTGATGGAAACAGGTGACAGGGGTCTGATGGTGACAGGTGACAAATGATTTGATGGTAACAGGTGACAGGGGCTTTGATGGTAACAGGTGACGGGTTGTATGATGCTAACAGGAAACATGTGGCATGATGGTAATAGGGAACACGTGGCCAGATGGTAACAGGTGACAGTTGGCATGGTGGGAATAGGGAACAGGTGGCTGGATGGTAACTAGTGGCCTTATGGTTAAATGTGATAGATGGCTTGATAGTAACAGGTTACAAGTGATCTGACAGCAATATGGATCAAGTGGCCAGATGGTAAAAGTTGACAGATGTCCAGATGGTAACAGGTGAAAGGTGGCCTGATGGTAACAGGGAACAGGTGGCTGGATGGTAACATGTGACAGGTGGTCTGATGGTAATAGGTAATAGGTGGCATTATGGTAACATGTGACCTGGTGGTAGGGAATAGATGATCGTATGGTAATTGGTGGCCTGATGGAACCAGGTGACAGGTGGCTGGATGGTAACATGTGACAGGTGGTGTGATGGTAACAGGTGACAGGGGCCTGATGGTAACAGGTGAAAGGTGGTATGATGGAAACAGGGGATATGATGGTAATAGGGAACACGTGGCCAGATGGTAACAGTTGACAGGTGGTATGGTGGGAACAGGGAACAGGTGGCTGGATGGTAACTTGTGGCCTGATGGTAAAATGTGATAGATGGCCTGGTGGTAACACGTGACAGATGGTCTGATGGTAATAAGCATCAAGTGGACAGATGGTAACAGGTGGTATGATGACAACAGGGAACAGGTGGATGTATGGTAACAGGTGACAGGTGGCCTTTTGGTAATAATTGACAGATGGTGTGATGGTTTTAGGGAACAGATTACTAGATGATAACTGGTGATAGATGTCCAGATGGTAACAGGTGACAGGTGGCCTTATGGTAACAGGTGTCAGGTGGTGTGATGGTAACAGGGAACATGTGTCCTGATGTTAATGGGTGATAAGTAGCCTGCTGGATGAGCAAGGAGAGGTTGGGGGCATTGGCCTAATATCTACTGGTTGTTGGTTTTATGCACCTATTCCACACTTAAGCTCCTTTTGACTAGAAATTCCAATCCTTCGCGATTTCACTTTCATTAGTAGTTTTTAATTGTACGCTGGGTTTTTGGTTCATAGGGTTAGGATTTTTATTTTATTTTTTTTTTTTTGAGCGAGGCAGGAGCTATTGATTTAGAGGAGTGGTCCAAATCGCAGGCTGGTTTGGACCTTTCCCTCTTTTGTTAAGTTTGGCAGAGGCTCCCAATTCCTTGCTCTGCATTTGATGATTGTGTTGTAAGAAAAAGGGGACAGGGAGCACAGACTGTTCTAATTAAAAGAAAACAGACACTTCCATTTTATTTTCCTAAAACTGTAAACTGGAGTTCCTAAAATTATTTCAGTCCTGAATTGATTTTTTAGAAACAAACTTAACTGAATTAATCTGATTTATTCTTCTTAAAAATAATGTAAATCGGTGTGTTATTCAAGTTTAAACTGTATTTTGATGCATATAAAGTGAACATAATTCACAGTCTTCTGCCTCAGATTACCTCAGGATTAAGAGAGTAAACCCTTCCACCTGGTGCTGCAGTCCATCTCCAGTTCTGTTCATATTCTGAAGGAACAGAACTAAAATGTTAAACAGCATCATTTGCATTTGGTTTGCAGGATCAGCTGGGCACGGAACAGTTTTAATATCCTGTGGCTTAATTACCTTTAATCAGGCGTTAAACAGCTGATTAGAGTTGCAGCTGCCAACGAAAGGAGCAAAAAGTCCAGTACAGTAATAGAGTGATGCTGAATCAGCATTCACACCATAGTGATCATGGATAGATGGATGGATAGATAGATAGATAGATAGATAGATAGATAGATAGATAGATAGATAGATAGATAGATAGATAGATAGATAGATAGAGATGGGGGGGGGTTCAAATCTTAGCCACCAAATCCTCAGGATTTACAGATTTACTTAAAAAACAGATTTTAGACTCTTAATTGATTTGTGTTTTGGTTTATTCAAACAGGGTTAAACCTGTAAAATCATAAATATGAAAATAAAGACGTCAAATAAATTCTGAAAAAGTGTATTTTATTGTTAGACTTTACGGAACAGGAACATCACAGCTTTCTCTATGCATAGCTACACAGACTTATTGTGGACAGCAGCCGACCCGCCGGGGGTGTGGAGTCCATCTGAAGGACTTCAGGGCAGGTTCGGGTCTTTGTGGACCTTCAGGCCCTGCAGAAATGACACTTGATGATCTTGTTGAACGCGCTCTGGAAGTCTTTGTTGAAATAGGCGTAGATGATGGGGTTGAGCAGGGAGTTGGAGTAGCCCAGCCAGTTGATGACATCCTCCAGCCAGGCCGGCATGAAGCACGCGCCCTGGCAGAACGGCATCACCAGGGCCACGATGAAGAAGGGCAGCCAGCACAGGATGAAGGTGCCCATGATGATTCCCAGAGTCTTCACCGTCTTGCGCTCGCGGGCCAGCGCGATCTTCCTCTTGGCCTCGGTGGCCCTCTCGTGCCGGCTCTCGAACAGCGGGACACAGCTGGGGGTGTGGGGGGTGTTGGGCAGCGGCAGGTGGCCCCTGGAGCTGCTGTGGACTTCGATGATCTCCAAGGACTCTCCGTTCTCCAGCGGCCGGGGCTCCACGCTCCTCTTCCAGCTCTTCCCCTGCGCCTCCCCGGGGGGCTTCCTGTGGAAGAGCGCGGGGGACAGCACCAGGCACGAGTCCGACACCTTCTTCTTCTCCGTTTTACGCACGGTCCTCCTGATCCGGAACCGGGCCGCTTTGAAAATCCGCCCGTACAGAACCAGCATGAGGGTCAGAGGGATGTAGAACGCCCCGAACGTGGAGTAGATGGTGTACCAGGGGTCCTGCCGGATCCTGCATTCCTTCGGGTCCTCGGCGTCGCCTCCACGGTTCTGGGAGCGCATCACCAACATGGGCGGCACCGAGATGGAGAACCCGACCAGCCAGGTGACGCTGATCAGAACCGCAGCTCTCCTCGGGGTCCTCTTCTTCATGTAGTCTATGGGTTCGGTGATGGCCCAGTACCGGTCCAGGGCGATGGCGCACAGGTGCAGGATGGAGGAGGTGCAGCAAACCATGTCCAGGGAGATGAAGATGTCGCACGGAACCTGGCCCAGAGTCCACCGGTTCAGCACCTGGTACAGCGCCGCCATGGGCAGAACCAGCACCGACACCATCAGGTCCGTGACCGCCAGAGACCCGATCAGGTAGTTGGCCACGTTCTGCAGGGACCGCTCCAGCGCGATGGCCGCCACCACGCACGCGTTCCCGAAGATGGCGCACAGGATGAGCGCGCCCAGAAGGAAGGAGGTGAGCACCTGGTAACTCAGCTTCACCTCCTCCTCGGAACCGACGGGTCCACTTGTGGAGTTGTCCAGCTCGTGCCAGGCCGTGGTGTTGTTGCTGCTCTCCATGGTGTGGGCAGTTAGAGCCGGGCGCGCGCCGCCCCGCGGCACCGCTCAGCGCGCATGGCGGACTGCTGGGTCCTGCAGGCGGAACCCGAACTGTTGAGGTTCTGCAGAGAGGCTCCGGACTGAAGGTGTCGGCTGCTGAGTTTTTATACTTGTGATGGAAAACGCGTCACGCGCCAGCGAGGATGTGGGTCTGTTCAGTCTGCAGCTCAGAGGAACCAGTGAAGACTTGAAGCTGAAACTTTCACTGATGCCAGTTTTCAGTTTCAGGGTCATAAATGTTGGAACGTGTTCATGTCACATGTTGCATTAAAAGACTCATAAAATTAATGATTAGTTTTACTCTTCCAGCCTCGTGAGTTATAAACTGTCCACTGTTGTTTTTATGCAGCACAGTCAGAGGCTGTGGTGCTGCCCCCTGCTGTTCACCTGCAGGCACAACTAAAACTAGAACGGGGGCCAGAGCCTTCAAGGGCCACAGAGCCCATTCTGTCGTTTAAAATCGGATTTAGACTTTTTATTTTTATTTTTACACAACCTCTCCTGTTGAACACTTTGATCTGGTTTTATGTGTTAACTTCTTTGAGGTGTGCAGATCATAAGCTTTGAACGCACTCAATACAAGCTCAGAGGGTCAGAACCTTCTCTGGTGCAGGTCCAAAACAGCCACTCCATGTCAGAAGATCCTTTTAAGTCTTGTCTAAAACACATTTTACTCTTCGACTCGGCGTGAGTTGATTTTAATCTCATTGTGTTTTTATTCTTTCTTTTCTTTGACCTCTGTTGATTTATGTATTTTATGCTGCGTCCTTTGCTTGTTAGTTTTGTTGTCCAGCAGTTTGGTCGGCACTGTTGCTGTTTTTAAGTGTGTTATAAATAAAGTAGTACCGACATGATCTAAGGTAAAGTGCAGATCCATAGTTTGTACTTCAATGATGTGCACTCTGTTTCAATTTCACAGCTTTATTTTGCTGTACTTAATAAAACACATATTATAATGTAGACAGACATAGATATATAAAAAAAAAAAAATACCGTGAAAATAGATAGCAGGGCAGCATGGTTGCGCAACTAGAACTGCTGCCTCTCAGAGAGCAGGTTCCTGGTTCAAATCCTGGTCCGGGGGCCTTTCTGGGTGGAGTTTGCATGTTCTCTTCGTGTATGCGTGGGTTTTCTCTGGGTACTCCAGTTTCCTCCCACAGACCAAAAACATGCATGTTAGGCTGATTGGTAACTCTAAATTGTCCCTAGATGTGAGTGAGAGAGTGAATGGTTGTTTGTCTCTTTTGCGTCTATGTGTCCCTGTGATGGACTGGAGACCTGTCCAGGGTGTCCCCCACCTCTTGTACAGTGACTGCTGGACATGGGCACCAGAGACCCCCACGACCCAAAAGGAAGAAGCGGGTAAAAATAATGGATGGATAGATAGATAGATAGATAGATAGATAGATAGATAGATAGATAGATAGATAGATAGATAGATAGATAGATAGATAGATAGAT